TAAGTCATATAAGAATGTTTTGTTTTAATTTATCAAAATATACAACAGTTTAAGCTGGGTGCCCATGGCTCATGCTACTCAGGAGACTGAGATCTGAGAATCTTGGTTGGAAATCAGCCCAGTCAGGAAAGTCTGTGAGACTCTTATCTCGATTAAACTACTCAGAAAAGGCCAGAAGTAGTGCTGTGGCTCAAGTGGTAGAGTGCTAGCCTTGAGCAAAAGCAGCTCAGGGCTAGCACCCAGGCCTTGAGTTCAAGTCCTAGGACTAGAAAATGAAATCACAGTTGAAAATGGATGGTTATGTTCAGTATATAATTCATAGATGAATATACCTACATAGTTTACCTAATATAGTTTTAAAGCTTAGCAAACATAAATTACATATATAATTCTATTCAATCTTCCAGATAACTTTCTCAATAAAACTGCAGTGACCGAAGAAAAGTGATTTGTTGGATACTTAAAATTATTAGATACAGCATTTTATGTAGTGTAATTCATTGGTATAATTTTAAATTACTAAAGGCCTTTAAGAATCCTTTCATTAAGTGAGTTTGGAGATGATCTATATTTTATTATATTTCAGGGACATACACACACATACACACACTGCAGTCCCCAAATTATGTAGCCATTAAAACTGCTGTCATTGTTCATATGTTCATGAAGATTAAAAAAGCTAATTTTAAAACAGAAAGCTACATTTGGTAAACCATTCCTCCTTTATCACCTGCTACATGAATGTTTATGATCATTGAGAGTTGAGACTCTATTCCATTACAAGAAACAAAGCACACATAAATACCTTTGAGTCTCCACTGTTTCCTCTAAATTTTCTTTTAAAAATTAACTGCTTCCTATAGGTCTTCTAAGGGAAGGGAGAAAGCAAAGATATACTAGATATTCAAGTTGTTACGGTAACGTCTTATATAATTCCCACATAAAAACTTCATCTAGCCAAATATTAAATTATTGAAATTATGACTCTGTTCATCAATAGCACGTTTTACTCATTTATGTAATCTTAAATTTCACTTTCCTTTGATTGACTGTTTTAATCTCCCTTAACTAGGGAGTAACTGGAAATAAATGGTGCGTTCCTAATACCATAAATATGAAAAATAGAAAGTACTTAGGGGCTGCGGGCAAATACATTAAAATGAGCCAATTTTCTAGTTAACATATTCTCATTTTGTTTGTGTACAGACCCACTGCATAGAGAAAGAAGACAGATCACAAATCCATGCCCCCACCAAAGCATTCTCCTAATTTCATGTTATGACAGCAGAAATGGACCCAAATCTCTAACCATTTCCCCTGAAGGACCCTGGCTGGCGGGTGCCAGCCAGGTGTAGCAGTCTGAAGGAGGGAAACATTGTGTCAAATTCCACTCATCTGTCAGTGTAGTGGATTATTTCGTAAGAGACTGAAATTGGCTGCTTGCAATCGGAACCCCATCAATCTTGCGGTGGAGGGGACAGGAAAACTGCCTGTAAGAGGCTGGGGAGAGGAGGAGGGGACAGCCAGGCCTAAGCAGGTAAGAAGGCAGCTGGAAAGAACTCTCTCTCCCTTCATTCAGGGCTCTGAGTGAAAGATTTGTCATTTTGCACATTTCTCCGAATACTTGGTATGCATGTGCAGTCTGCCTGTTCTTGCTTTATGAAAGAGGTGATTTTTCAAGCTTAGGCAAATGTAGCAGAGCTCAGGGTCTGCTTGGGGCCTCATTTTTTCTCATCATACCACTTGTTTTAAGCAATTGGGGAAAATAAGATTACGTGTTTCCTTTATTCCACCCCCACCCCCCCCCCATTTGTTCGGCTATTTATTTATTTATTTGCTCATTTTGGGGTGGGATTGTCCCAAATAACAGGTCCTGATTTCTTCCTGTCTGCATACACATTTTATTAGTGTCCCTGAAGATTTAAGAGGCCCAGAGGGAAATGCCACAAGTCTCATCAGACAAAGCATATTTTCACTTAGAGAATCAAAACAGATGATTGTATTAAAGGGTCTGACTGAAACAATCTAGACTTTTGCTCTGACAAAGATCTATCACTTTAATCTTTGCAGCTGTTGTGGAAAAGCAAAAAAGTTGAATAATCATGTTTCACAGGACCAGTACACTGCCAGCATGAAATCACTGTAATCTGACTGTATGGAAAAGAAGGCATTTACTGTCTCATCATTTCAACAGTAAGGTCAGGAAGGGCCTCAGAGGTATTAGTATTTGGGCCTGGGGTTGATTTCAATGTTAAGTTTCTTGGAATATTGGAGATACAATTTGATTTTTGCATTGATTTATAAGAAGCAATCTTTTTAGGTAGGCAACAGATTTGGAATACAATGAGTTTCTCAATTTAAAAAATATGGCAATACAAGAATTAGCCCCGAGAGATATGAGTTTCATTATGACACATAACATTCATAAATACCCCACCAAAAAACCTGTAACAACTGGTTGACAGAAAAAAAAAAATGTATGTAAATGACCACAGCGAATGACTGTATTTCATGATTATATACGTAGACTATACAATAACCTTGTGGCACTTGGTAGTCTTTTCTGGCTATTTACCACTGAAACAAACAGCATGAGATTTTTGAAAAGTCAAACAGGGTATTATTCTGTCCATTATTCTATGTGGATTATTAGCCACATGAGCAACAACTTGACTCGTTCAATATCTCTGATCTGAACATCTATGAAGCCAGAAGTCACTCATCTCTATTTGTGAAGAAGTTTACAAAATATTTTCTAGGAAGTTATTTTGTTTGCAGCCCCAAGTTATCTTCAGAAGGGGGAAATTCGTTAAGGGAAGAGAAGTCAGGAATACTAAGGGACAATCTTTAATGCCTCCCTCCACCCCTCCACCGCGCACGCAGAACCATTCTCAGAAGGGCTCACTGCGTGCATGTATTATATTAACCTGAAAGTTTAACAAATTACATGAAATATATAATTCGGCTTCAAAGGGAGGCTTCCAGGCCCTATCATTTGCACCCTAAGTGGTGTTCCCCTCTACTCCTATTGACTCTGGTAGACTCCGTTCGGGCTGTGGCCTCAACCCAACCTGACTTCCAAGGACAGGTATGTGCTGTGTGTCTTCAGATTAGTTACTCAGCCTCTCTGCAACGTCAGCAAATTGCCCTCATTTGCATAAAGAACAATGCGAATTAATCCTGAGAACATTAATAATGGGGGTACTATCACGAAAAATCACAGATTTCTTTTTCCACATCACAATTCAAAGACATTGCCAGGACAGATGGGCGATTATATATTTGGAAATAACCTGGGGACACCCCCCCCCCCCGCCCCGTTTGTAACCCTCCACCTTTACAGTGAAGACAGACAGACAGACAGACAGACAAACCAATCGACCCACCATCCTTGCATCAGGCTCTGGACCCTGGATGCAGAAATACAACTCTCGTTTCCATGCCCACCTGCACACATACACCAGCGCCCCCTGGCCTCCCCTGCCCGCCTCCCTCCGGGACCCAGAGCTGGGGAAGCTGGGACGCTGGAGGGCTGCTGGAGGGCCCCAGGCCTCAGCCTGGAGCGCACACAGCCCCACCTCCTCCTCTCCCTCCCGAGCAAGCCTGCAGCTAGCGAGCCGCCTGCAGCCCGGCAACACCGAGCTGCTGGCTGGGTGAGCTGTGCAGTGCGTGCTCGGCTCAGCCAGCTCCAACCTGGAAGCTGAGCCCCCCGCCCCGTTCCCCAGCTCCAGGTAGCAAGAGGCGCAGCTGCTGCCGGGCTGTGCGGGAAGAGCGCAGGGTCAGCATCCCCTGGTCCAGGCCAGCTGCCTGGCTAGGGAAAGGCGGCGGCAGCAGCAGCAGCAGCAGCAGCAGCAGCGCAGTCCAGGCTGGACCTGAAGGAAGAGGAAGTCGGAGGGCAGAAGGGATTGGGGGGGGGGGGGGAGTGGGAGGGGGGACGCTGCAGGAGCAGCAGGACGAGGACTCCAAACTTGGGCGCGCAACTGGTCCCCAGAGGCGCTGCACTTGGGCAGCAGAGGTTGGGTGGAGCAGGAGGAGGGAGGGCGTGCAATGAGAACACAAAAATGGCCAAGGCAGAAGCGCCCAAGGAAATGGCAGGAGATCGTCAGGAGAACCCAGAGAAGGTAAGAGCAATCCAACCCGGAGGGACTTTGTCAGGAGGAAGCCAGCCCGAGAGAGAGGAACAATCCAGACTGAAGAATGAAGGCCAAGATGAGGTAGAAGGTAAAATGATGTGGAAGTAAAAATTCAGTGGGGGGGGGGGGGGAGCGGGACGGGAGGGGGGGACAGGAGGGGGGAATCTCACTGAGAGAACTTGTTCCTGAAACTGTCCCCTCCCACCATCCCCCCCCCAAAAAAAAAGTACAGGGCAAAGAAAATAAAAACAGCCATCACTGAAGGTACTTAGAAAAATAGAAAGGAAAGGGAAGGAAAGCAAGCACATGAAGGTCGACAAGAAATTGTCACTTTTCATTCCTTTCCATTGACAACTTTGCCCCTAAAGTTCGTTTTAGGGGCTAATGCTTTCACAAAAATGTTGGTGACATGGAGACTTGTGAGATCACAGTATCTACATTGTTGCTCTGTGTTTTGTTTTGTTTTTTAATGTGCACCCCAGGAACAGACTCGAAAAGATGCTACTTTCCTTCCCTAAAGCCTCCACAACTCTTGGGAGTTGTATGTTGCGATTCCCCAGAGCATACCCAGGAAGAATCACTTCTACTTCTAAGCATGTGAGGAGAGAGTGTAGTTATGTCAAGAAATGTACCTTGTCTGAGAAATTAATAGAAGCACCTCCAAGGCCTTCTGGACCCCGCTCCATCTCCCCCCCCACACACACACACTATCCCCCCCCAAGCATACAGCCTATAATAAATAGGTATTAGAATTCAGAAGCCAGCTGCCCACATTGTAGCGTCCTCCGTCCCTTGCATTCCATCATCTGTCCAAGGAGACCAAGGTGATCCTACAGGAGGCTGCAGCAGAGTCAGTGACTACCTTACCTGGTCTGTGCAGGTGGTGTTGCTGGAAAGTATGCTGGAGGGATCCATGGCAGAGCAGCATCGCACACGTGCTTATCCACAAGTAGAGGACCCAGGACATGGCAGAGACCATAGCCATTCTCTACAAAGAACATGAGACAAAAATACATAGGTGCGTATAGATGTATGTCAAAGTTACCCCTCGCTTCGAGCCCCCAGCTCCATCAGCATCACCAGGGAAGAAGAGAGATCTCAGTCCTCAGGTCCCTTTGCTCCTGGTAGAGCCCCACGTCATGATCTAGCAGAGGTCATAGCCAGGAAGTTGAGCTTACTGAAGGAAGACCTCTTCCAAGAAGGTCATAAATACAGTCTTTAAGTTCTGTATATGAAAGCTCCCAGGATGGCCAAAAAAAAAAAAACCTACAATTTTTAAAAATTGAGATTTAGATGTAATTTTTGTACTATTATTTAGGCTAGCATTTAAAAAGATCCAATTTTCACAATACTCTGAAAACTATGGTTCTTCGCAGAGCTGCAGACTCCTGTTCGTTCTAACTTCATTGCAAGTCTGACATAAGCCTGGAAAGACAGAGTGGGTTCCTTTTTTTTTTTTTTTAATTCTACAGTCATGAATTTTTAATCGCAATGCTGCCTTCTAAACTAAGTAATCATTTCTCAGAGGCATGTTGTAATCTCCTGATAGAACCAATCTTTCTGGCTGGACTTTAAAAAAGAAAAAAAAAAATCAGAAGGAATTGTCTTCAGCCAGACTGAGTTTCAGGTGTAAAATCTATGCCTGTATCCTAGAGCGAACCATAATTTACAGTATTGCTTTGCCTGTTAAGATTCAACTAAAGCATTTGTTGCATAGTGTCGATGAATATGCATATACAGGTGGTGTATGTATTTATGGATGAACATATACCTTTTCTTAGGCGCTGAAACTTTGACAGTCTTATCTTCACCTCTGAGAGCCGTTGTAGCTACAGAGACACAATGCTGCTACATATTGTTCCATCCCTCAAACAACACCTTATGCTGCATTTCGCCTTGCCAAATTAATCAAACTTGAAGCATCAGCTAGTGATTGGAGGCATGTTCCCACACAAGAATCCAGTTCAGTGTATGCTTTGCTCTTAGGTAGAAAGTGCTGGGCAATTTAATTATGTTTTTTTTCCCCTTCCCACTGTCAAATCATACCCTTCAAGAATTTTCAACTCTACATTAAAAACCCCGGCAGTGACCTCCCAGGGTGGCCTCTTTATTTATGAAAAGTGGCAGTCTTTCAAAACCCGGGATCTTGGTGCTGCAAGCAAAAGTGTACATTATACACATATATGTATATGAGCATATAATTCAGGATAATGAGGGGGTGTTAGAAGTTGAATCTTTCGAGAAGGTCTTAGGAGTATAATTGAGAAATGATGACAACTATAATTAAGTGCAAAGTAGAAAAACATTATTCTCTACAGCATGGTGCCACCAGGACCCTGTCTGTGGTTCAGCTGGACCACTCACTTTCTAATTAGTCCCAATACCCACTGTTTACTTTTATATACAACATGCCTCGCCTCATTGTTTCCAAAACTACCAGGAAAAAAAACAATAGCTACGTTCCCTTCCGTGGAGATAAACAGTAACACCCCCTCCTGTGAATCTTAAAATGATTTCATTTTATTTTAGGCTTAAAAAAATAACGAAGAAGAACCTGCACATGATAGAAAGATAAAACAGAGGTGACTATAGCATGCATTCACAGCTTGGGAATCATTGCTAAAAGGCACCAGGAATTAATTTAAACTTGAACAAATCCTCCTCAAACTTAACAGTTCTTCAGTGATCTCTCTTTCTCTTTCTCTTTCTCTCTTCCTCTCTCTCCTCTCTCTCTCATTTTTTTTACCCATCTAGATGTTAGTAGTCACACAGATTGCTGTAACTTGACTTTTTTTAGCAACATTTTTTTTGTCTTTTTCTTTTTTTTTTTTTTCATTTAACTTTCTTTCCTTCTCAGCCTGACTTGGGAGGCTTCCTAGAGGCTCTGAGCTGCTTTCTCTTACAGAGAGCTCATTTCAATGTGAATAAGTGTTTCTCTTTTTTTCCCCCCAAACCACCCTTCCAGCCCCACACTGTACTCTTTCTGCTTTCTGAATCTTAAAAAATCTTTAAAGAAGCTTCTTACCTGAAAAATCCAGCCAAGAGCAGAGTACTCTATTAGTGTTCATTGGAAAGATCTAACACTTTTTAAAATCCATCTGTGCCACAATTCTGAGATGTTCAAAGAAAGAGCTTCCCAACAATCTTCTTTATCAGGAATTTAAAAAAAAAAAGGTGTTTCTCTTCCGATCCTATCTCCACAATAAAGAAGACATCGGGCTCAGGCTTGATCAGACTGTGTTGTCAGAAAAAGAACCAAGGTTTGAGGGGTGGAAACCTTGTCATTTTCACCTTTAAATCATCTCCTGGCGTCACCCCTGCCTGACGAGACCTTTGAAATGATGGTGCGGTACTGTTTAGTGTCCTGATGAGAATCAGTGTACAGTCACTGACGGACAGACCAGCCCTACTCCCGTGCAGTCAGGACAGAGTTAGGCAGCGAAATGTAGGCGCTGGGCTGCTATACGTGCGGTAAGTAGCAGTAGTCTGTTTCAATGCATCCCTCCCGGCTCAACTATCACATGTCTTAAAGTGACATTACCCTCTATTACAGCGACAGTGGATTCTGATACCTGACCCTCTGACTCTTCAACATACTCAGGCAGCTCCTTAACACTCTATCGCCCGAATACATGAATTAGAGGTTTCTATGGCTATTCATTTGCCAAAAGAGTAAAGAGGCAGAAAAGAACAAAAGAAAGAAAACTCTGCAAAAATATATATATTGATAGTGTTCATGGGTGTTAGACTTCTACTGGGAAATGGGGAAAGTAAAATCTCTACCATTTCTTACCTCGCAATTTTTGTTTGTTTGTTTAGCTAGTACCTTACCCAGAATTACTGTTGGACTTATGCTTATTTAATTCTGTTGGTTGTAATTCTGTTGGTTGGAAATAAAATGTATTTGAAAAGATAGTAGCTTTTGAACACATTTAATAAATAGAAATATATCATTTTCAGTACCAAAAACTAAGTTTGGCTGAAGAAAATATGCTCAATGCCCTTACCTCGCACCCCGTCCCCCCCCCCCCAAAAAAATGTTCTCCTGTAGATTACATGCTGGAATAGGACAGGAAAAACATTTGAGAAGTTCAGTCTTGTTTCTAGTACTATGGTTTGAAACCTGTCTTCTCTGGAAATATACTGTTATTGTACTTAAACTTCAAAGACACAGGTAAGGTGACCTACTTTTCATTTCTAGACCACACTAGTAATAACTCAAAAATACCCATTCAGCCGGCCTTACAAATCACTTGTAAAGTACCTACTGTGGGCTTGGCACTTAAAACAAAGCAGAGAACAAGATGAACTGGATCCTCCCCTACAGGGCCCCAGCTGCTAGTCTTTTTATATTGTCTCCAACATGGAGAGAGTTCTCATTTGCCTTGACAACTTTTCAGAATATCTCAGGACAGCCTCTTGCTTTTCACTGGCATTATAAAGAAGGCTTGATGCTGCCGCGCACATTTGGGGACTATTCCTTCTCAGGCTTCCCCAAGTACAGAAAGCATCCTTCATATTCACTATTCTTCCCCGCTCTCCTGCCCCTGATTTCTCACATTGCACAACACACACAATAACCAGGTCAACCTCACCATGAAACTAATTTTAAGCTTGTGGTTAAAAGTAAGAATGACAAGGTTTTAATCAGTATTGTTTCATTTATTTCTGTGATCTGTGGTTCATAATTGTTGTCTTAATGAGCGTATTCAGAAAGTTTGTAACAATGGCACAATTTCAAGACAAAAATGATGTTGATGATGATGATGATGATAATAACCACAGTGGAAATAGCTAATAGTTATCAAACTTTTACCATGTGCTATGGTATAATATAATCCTTTTGGGCTGGGAAGGTGGCTCAGTGGTAGAATGCTAGCCTTGAATGCATGAGGCCCTGGGTTTGATTCCTCAGCACCACATAAGCAGAAAAAGCTGGAAGTAGTGCTGTGGCTCAAGTGGTAGAACATTAGCCTTGAGCTGAAGAGCTCAGGAACAGCACCCAGGCCTAGAGTTCAGGCCCCATAAGAAGACAGATATCTAGATAGATAGATAGATAGATAGATAGATAGATAGATAGATAGATAGATAGATAGATAGATAGATAGATAGAATCCTTTTATTAACTTTATAAGATAGACTTATTATTATTATTTTAGTTTTATAGCTGTAGAATATAAGGAGAGGTACTGATAGAGCATACTTTAAGGTAGATTTATTATTATTTTAGTTTCACAAATGTGGGATATGAGAAGAGGCACTAATAAAGCAAATTTCAAACCCAAATCATCTGCCCAAATAGCTTATCTCTTCAACATTCAGATAAAATACTTTGTGGCAACCATTTTTTTCTAAATTTACCTGTAAGTTTTCTTAGTTTTTCAACATTAAGACAGTCTCAAAATTTATTATTCATTTACTCTACAGGAATATATTATGCTAGACATTTGAAATATGCAACTGTTATAAAACAGTCTTTGCCCCATGAATATTTCTGGCTCTGTTTTTAGTGTGTCAATAAATTAAAATTAAAAGGAAGTTCAGCCAGGCATGGTGATTCAATTCTGTCTTTTGGGAGGGGGAGATAGATGGGATTTCAGTTCAAGGCCAGCTGGGCATAACATTTCATAAGACTCCATCTGACACACCCAGTGTGGTGGTACATGCCTATAACCCAGTTCCAGAGGACATACAAGCCCTGGGTACAGTGGCAAATGCCTGTCATCTCCAGTGACATAGGGAAGCAAAGTAGGAGGACTGAAGCCCTGAGTGAGAGCCTTTCTCAAAAATAACCAAAGAAAACATGGGGTGGAAGTGTGGCTCAACTGGTAGAATACCTGCCTTGCAAAAGTGAAGCCCTGAATTCAGATCTCCATACTCCCATCTTGAAAAACTGTAGCCATTAGAATTTTCCTTCACAGAGTTTAAAGGTCAACATATTTAGATAATTTTAACAAAATAAAAGTTAATAAATTTGAAGTGGAGATGCATGAATGTTCTCAAGACACTACTAGGCATTCTTGAGATATGTGTGTGTGAGTGTGTGTGTGAGGTGTGTGTGCATGCGTGTGCACGTGCATGCCAGTACTGAAGTTTGAACTCAGAGTCTGAGTGCTGCCCCTTAGCTGGGGATTCTACCACTTGAGCCACTGTTCCACTTCTGTCATTTTTCTGGTTAATTGGAGATGAGTCTCAAAGATTTTTCTACCCGGTCAATCTGACTTTCAACTGTGATCTGCAGATCTCAGCCTCCTGAATAGCTAGGCTTACCAGTGTGAACCACTGGCACCCAGCTTGAATTATTGAAAAAATTTTAAAGTAATATAAAAACACTGGAAAAAGAAATACTTGCTTTACATGACACTGGATACAGTCTCAGGAAGTCACAGTACTCCAAGCATTTCAATGCTCAAATCATGTTCTGAGACAGGGCCTAAACAGATGCATTTCAAATACAGCGTAGATCATAAGATACTCTTGTACATACAGTCATACAGGAAAGAAGGAGCTGGCTGCTGGTGGCTCACACCTGTAATCCCAGCTACTCAGGAGGCTGAGATCTGAGGATCACGTTTTGAAGCCAGCTCAGGCAGAAAAGTCCCCATGAGTCTCTTATCTCCAATAAACTACTCAAAAACAAAACAAAACAGAAACTTGAAGTGGTACTGTGGCTCAAGTGGTAGAGCACTAGCCTTGAGCACAAAGAGGCTCATGGACAGTGCTCAGGCCCTGAGTTCAAACGCCAAGACTGGCAAATAATTAAAAATGCATACAAAAAAAGGAAAGAAAACTTGGTTCACTAGAACTCTTCTCATGGAAGAATGCAGATGTATTCAGGAGAAAGGCCTCATAAATTATTGGGTGATAAAATTTGAAACACTCCAAATTCTTCAAAAACAATACTCAGCAAACCTCTCTGGATAATAAAAGTGGATTTGAGGGAATGGAGGAAAGCAGATGTAAAAGGGAGAGAGTTGAGGTAGGAAAACATGATGGAGGCTAAGGAAGTAAAAGACTAATAGATACAGAAATGTCTACTTTCCTAGAAGAAAATGACACCAGTAGTTCTGGAGGATAAGTGTCACTCCAAATGGTTATAAGGAGAGAGAACGGATGGAAAGGGAGGATGGAGATAGAAAGTTACACATATATTTGGTATGATGACTTGAGAGACCCATCAAAGGATCTGAATGCAATCCTCAAAGGGTCTGCCTACAGACCACAGGTACTATCAAACATCTATTCAAGGACAGAAAATTCCTTTGATTTTCAGACTCTATTTCTTACCATTAGAAACAAAAACTGTCCTTGGTATAGTCTAAGCCAATTAATAATTTGGCTAATTACAAGTTTGTAATCATGAACATGTAGGCAAAAAATGTGAGATATACACAATTCATTTTGTCCCTATTTCCAAAATGAGAAACAGCTAAAGGAATTTAAACACATTACATCTATATGAAGAAATGTGTTAAGCTTTAGTCTGAGGCAGTTCAAATGATTTATCAAGGCACATGGTTTAGATCAGTTTTTAAGTCTTGACATAACACATTTTGGTTGTGATCTTATAGCTCCCATAATGTTTCCCATCCCATTTCAATTGCCTAATGAAAATGGGGGCACAGATAAAAAGATCATTGGCTGGGAAGGTGGCTCAGTGGTAGAGCGCTTGCCTTGCATGCATGAGGCCCTGGGTTCGATTCCTCAGCACCACATAAACAAAAAGCAAAAAGCCGGAAGTGGTGCTGTGGCTCAAGTGGTAGAGCGCTAGCCTTGAGCTGAAGAGCTGAGGGACAGCGCCAGGCCCAGAGATCAGGCCCCACGACCGGACCCCCCCAAAAAAAGATAATTGAAATGGCACCTTTTCCTGAATCAATGTGCCACTGTCCCCAGTGAAGCTGATTTTCTTTTTGTCTCAGTCACTGAAACAACCTCTTCTTAGTTGACAGTGTCTATTTAAACCCATCATCATGGGAAGGAAATAGGCCTTTCAGTCGGCAAAGTAGGAATGCTACCCTATCCTCCAGAGACCAATTCCATAAGCCATTCTATCCTTATTTTTCAATAATTCGCCTAAAATTCTCTTGTTCACTTTGGGGTCCTGGTATGTGTCTCTTACTAGATACACAAATGCATGCCTTGCTTATCTTTCTTACCTTTTGAACCTACATAAAG